TTCCCTTTCTCTCCATTCATCATTTCATCCATGATTTCAGTCAGATGCGATAGCTTTCATGATTTTTGATGAACTAAAAATAGGGCAATGTTTTCGAGTTTGGCCTCTCAAGGTATAGAAATTCGTTCAGAAGCTCAACAAAAGCTCAACAATCGCTCATTTTATCAAAGAGAAGCTTTTTTTGGGATTTGAAATTAGATTTTCATTTATCCTTTGCAAATGAATTCTTTTCTTGGCTTAATTTCATAATAACTTGGATTGAATATCGTTTACTTCATGCGGAAGCTATTCAATAAGATGAAGAAATTAAAGCCAACGGGTAACAAGCGTTAAGTTGACGAAAGAAAGTGACAGTGATTTGTAGTCTGACTCGAAACGGACCGTAGTCAGGCGTAACCGAAACGATCGAGTCAGGCTACAAGCCACTGTAACTTTCTTAAGCATTGGTAATTTTGGGTGTGCTTTGGCCGATTCGAAAGCTCTTAAGTTTTTCTATTTTTTGAGCTATAGATCATGTTAGTCCGACAGATTTGAAGCAATTTAGAACCGTTTGTAGTTTACGTTTGTAACTTGTAGTGCCCATGTCTAGTGCCACACAAACTCTTAGCTAAGACAAGAGCTCGATTGGTCTTTGAAAGCCAAAAGATACTTCTTGCTAAAATGCAAGGTTTGGTCGTCATCGCTGTTATTTTCCTTCTCTGAAAATAATAGTCGGTGTTGTGTAGGAAATAGCGAAGGATTCATGTTGCAGGGACGACAAAAAGGATTACTCTTTTTTTGGTGAAAAGAGACAACGAACGAGGCTCAATTTCACAAGAGATTAGGATGCCTCTTTGCTTTTTAAAAGAATTCATCCACCAATTCATTTCAATGCTATTCTTTGACCATCAAATCATATTTACCACTTCATGTATACAAAAATCTCAAATGAGTTTTTTTGATTTCATTTTGATCTCATAACATAATAGCCATGCAGGATGTAACATCCGATTTTGAAATCATTTAAATCGGACATCCATGCAAAGACTATATAGACTATTTTGTACGCAAACTGAGAAGTCTTTCATTGAAACTTTTCATTTGAGTAGCAACTCATTTGAGTATTTTCGAGAATGATGTGGAATGAGTGATGGGATTTCGGGAGCAAATGAAAGCACTAGCGCTGTTTGAATCCTTTAGCGGAGAGATACCCTCACTAGGATCGACCCTCTTTTCTTCTGGACCTAGCCTGGTCTCCTCCAAAAAAAGCTCAGTCTTTGCCGAATTATGTGGGCATCGCGACACCGCTAATCCATTCGTGGCGTTTCCCTATAAAATGTCAGTGATGCCATTTGAGCTTTCAAACGCTGTACAGCTTGTTTGTTTTTCTTAAACATTTCTTCAGCCCACCAAATTCTTTCAGGTCTTCTAGATTGGATTAAAAAACGAGCATCCAGTTCAGACTAATTAATTCTCAGACTTGAAAAAATTAAAACAAATCTTTTATTTCGAAATCTCTACCTAATCCGGGGAATCACATGAAGTGACCAAAAATGGCCCAGGAAAACTAGGTCAAGGAATGATAAAAACGGGACTTCTCATGAACTAGAAGATAGGTTTTTTTCCCATTGAGATGGGATCTTCACTTCTTCTTCTTCTTCTTCTTCTTCTTCTTCTTCTTCTGCTTCTTCTTCTGCTTCTTCTTCTCGCACCTCCTCCCACGTGTCCCCTTCCAATGTGTACGTCTTTCCTCTTCCCACACTCACTTCACCTCTCAAAATGGAACCACTTCACCCCTCAATAACACTCTTGTTTTTTGCGCCTCTTAAACTCTCATCCTTATTTAACCTATTCCTAAAAAACGTTTTCTATTTTCAAAGCATCGGCTATAAATTGGATTCGAATAAACGGGGTAAACGGGGACTTCGTTTGTAAATTGAAATGGGCTTGTGGGCTTCTCCCTCATCAAGGATCATTTCAATTTAACGCATTTTTGGCCTACAGTCGGCGTAGTCGTTACTATAGCTAATTTTTTTTTTGAAAAACTCGGTGTTTTCAACGATTTTGGCGAATAGTTTGTGCTTGAGTGTGTCACATTTTGTTTTCTTTTCCATTCTGCAAGGAATGAACTTTCCTCTTTAAGAGTGCCCTCCACATCCACTTGCCTTTCCTTCCCTTTCCTTTCCCCCGCCTCCCCTTTTTTTCTTTATTCCACCGTCTCCAAAGGTTCTCACTTATTTTTTTTCTAGTTTCTTCACTTTTGGCTACCATTTTTGCGTAATGATATCATTATTTCAATTAGAAAAAGATTTCCAACGTCACTAACTGAATAGAAGACGTTTCATCACCAACAATTCAACTCAAAACTCTTTAGTGTTTCATTGATCATGTTTTTCAATTTTTACTCTTTGATTCAAATGCCATTTTGTTGCAGTTTTTTGAAAAAAAAAAGCTGAAGATCTAAAATGATCTTTTGTTGGAAAAGGGTCTACACAAAGGCCATTGTAGATGTGTGAAATGGGGATTTCACAAGTAAGCACTCGAGCACGTCTCATTGTGCATAATCAAGAGAAGAGAAAAAAGAGGAGCCCTCTACCCCTTTCATTTCTTTCATAAAATCTTACAAACAGCCCACTTTTTTTTCTGATTTATCTTCCACATCCGACCCGCTGTTTATTTGAATTCAAAATTCCGTAATTCATTTTGGGCATTCTCTCTAATTTTACATATAAACAAATTTGTCTAGATTTTCGTACATTGATTTCTGCTCAGCAATAATCTTTATAAGGACATTAGCGGGCGATTCGGAAAAAAACGGCAAGTTAATTTTCCCTTTTTTCACCTGTTCTCACCTTGTGGATACTCGCGAATGGAGTCCGAGTATTTTATGAAGAAAGAGAGGAAGAGAGAGGAAGAGAGAGGAAGAGAGAGGAAAAACGCCTACTGTTGATGACGTGCCCCTTTACTAGTCTAAAGTCACAATTATCACTAATTGCGAACATAAGCTAACTCCAGTAGTTCTTCAATGAATTCCCCTCATTTTTTTAGTAATGGTCGCTTTCTCGAATGCCTTTGATTTCTATTAATCAAGTAGTTGGTTGCTAAAAAAGAAGGAAGTCTGAATGGATACAAAGAAATCGGAAATTTTGTATGAGGGTAATGTTTTTGTCCATGACAACGGACGGAATCCAGATGAAAGAGTTCCGAAGTCAAACGGGTTTTTGTTCTAAAAGCGGAAGCAGTAATCGGTGATGTGTGGGGGGGGGGAAGGGTTGATTCCACTTGATGGAAGTAAAGTGATGGGAGTAGGGAAAGATGTGAGTGGGCGAGGATGAAACATTCACCATTCGCGATTTGACATGAATGGTTGGGCGCGGTTGGGGGTTCCTGGGTTCGGGTTTAGGGGTAAGCCCATCACAACACAATACGTGAAATATATTTTTCCAGGTTTGTAGTCCTATTTCAAGAAACGTGACTACAAACTGCTATAAATAGGATGTTATCGGTGAGACATGATGTGTTGAACTGATTTTGGTGTCATTTAAAAGCCCAAAGTTGGTTTTGATTTTAAAAAAAGTTTGTAAAAATGACCATTCTACGCGTTTCTAGAAGAGTTTGTAGTCTGATTTTTTTAGCGTCCATGTCTACTGGAAAGTCTCCTGTCAAAAAACGAAATAAATGGGCAAAGGGTAGCCGGGGCGTGGTATAAAATCTTATCGAATCTTTCCCCGTTCACCCCACCCTTTCCCCTTCAAACATAAGAAACATGTCACCCATCCTTCCTCTTCCCCTTCACTTGGCACCTTATTTGTCCCGAATGGAAGCTCAGTTGCAAGCGTGTGTGAGTGTTAATTGCAACTTTGGTCACTCCTCTTTCCTCAGTTCAAAGTGATCTCATCTCATCTCCGCTCCACCTTCAATTCTCGTTATTAGATTTTCGGCTAGTTTAAAGAAGAAATCAACTTTTCCTCTATTTAATTATTCCTTTTATCATCAATGTTATTTCTATTATTATTTCATTTAGGTTTTAAGCATGTTCTGCAGTCAAATCCCACTCTTCAATGTTGTATTAAAGTAAAATTTGAAATTTCTATGTAAAGGTCAACGATCTCTAGCTAGTCTATACTTTTTTTCGGTGAGAAACTGGTATTAGAGGGTAATTGGTAAAAAAAAAGCAATTTGAAGGATCTTTGGAGGGAAAAGAATGGTGGACAAGAAATTTATAAGGAATTTCCTCACCTCATCTTTCAATTTCTTTTTCTATTTTGGGATGAACATAGTTTGACCTTTATTTAAAAGATTTTTCTCTTTTTCTTTGGTTCTTCATTTTTGACCAAAGAGCTTTTCCATTTCTAAAAAGTTAGATTGAAATTTTGCTCTTTAATTGCAAAAAAGCCCCCACTTATCTAGCCGGTTCCAGAAATTCTATTGTCTAAAAATGGGCACACGCTCAAAATAGTACTTCCAAGAACGTTGCTTTGCTAAGATAGCTAAAATTTAAGCTGAACTCAGGTTAAACACTTTCTTAGAGAGTCAAAGGTTCACTTTTATTCACCTTTCAATTACCAATTATCTATGCGCATACAAGTTGGAGCCCTTCTCGTCATGCTCTTCATTAAGTGAGCTCAGTGAGACTTTTTTTCTCTTTGAATTCGCATTCGCTTTTTTTTTGATCTATTAACAACTACAACTAAATACTATAAAGTGATCGTCTAATATTTCAGAAATTCGTGAAAAATAGCTTTTCTTTTCTTCTTTTCTCCTTATCTTCTTTTCTTCTTTTCTTCTTTTCTTCTTTTCCTTTGCCTACGATGGATTCTTGTTTCCTCACTTCACTTGAAGATACGACTAGAGTCCTCGTTTAAATTACATTAAACTTCCGTTATTTGATGAGACTTTGCATGTTTTTTTTTTGACTTTGACTTTTCAAAGTTTATTTTTATTTCTTTAAGGAGCAAAGTTGTTTACGATTGAAAATTGATGAAAATTAATGAAAATTGATTTCAGGGTGGCGCGTGGCGATGGGCGATCGCCGATCGGTGACGCCTATCCTTTGGGTCTCTCTTTGTATACTCATACTATGCGATATTGTTCAGTAAGTTTTAAATATTAAGATTTAAAAGATTCAAAATGAATTTTTACAAAATACGTCAGCTGTGCAAATTACAAGCTCGACCAATACTTTTTGAGAAATTTAGTGAGCTTTTCCCTGAAATCTCTTTGAAATTGGAATCGGCTTTCTCAAATCGAATAGCCAAATCAGCTATTCCAATCGATTATAGATCATATTATAGATTTACTATATATAAAGCAGAAGAGACGTTCGTCCGTCCGTCTGTGCCCGGCTATTGGCAAAAAGGGATGGGGCTTAGATTGCCTGGAAAACGTGGAAAACGTGGACCTCTCCAGTGAAAAACGCGAACGTTAGTGAGCGTTTTCCGCTGGTAGATTATAAATAGATTTGAACTTACTAAAGTATGTTGTGATGAGAGATATTTATCCGAAAATACTAGAGATTTGCACATTCTTTATCTCTAGTAAGTTTGATTTACGATTCCACTAGGTAAAGCTTGGGAATTTACACTTAACTCCCTCTGGAATAACGGAGATCAACTGCGTTGTGGTGTAATGGTTAGCACAGTTGCCTGATAAGCGAAAGATCCAGCTAACCATTACACCACAACGCAGTTGCCTGGTAAGCGAAAGATCCTGGGTTCTCCTCCCGGGAGCGCACAAGCCTTTGATCTGCCCTACTTCCAACTTTAGATTGTTTTTAAGCACAAGTTTAAAGTGAAAAGTCAAATCAAAAAAAGGATTTTCTTTCAGGTGTGGATCAGAGAAAGAATTGAAGAAGAAGATCTCTCCAAACGGTCCATCATTCATGAAACGAACAAACACGGCCTCATCCCCTTCCTCCTCATTTTCATCCTCCTCAGACTCTTCCCGATTCTCCGCGAATTTGCCCCTTTCGAGAGCTCTTCGATACGAGCGAATACCATACTATTTCCTCCAGTTCTAGATTAGCTCTATCAATAAATTTACTTAAATGTTGACCATCAGATTTGATGCATTATAACACATGCAAAATGCACGCATTTAACAATGTTTATTTATTTATTGTTTATTTGTTCTTTGGTTTTTCCATTTCCAACTCTTCAGTGCATTGGCCCAACAAGCGCCGAACCTAAAAATAGTTAAATATAAAGAAAAAGTGAACTTTCTTACATGATCTCGACTTTCGTTGACTTTTTGAAACATTTCTTTCAATTCCTTCAGTTCTTTATCTTTTTCTTCCAAAGCATTGTTGGCTGATTTTAACTGAAATTTTGTTGATTTACAATCACCATAAGGTTAGCTTCCAACTTGAGCTTTCCAATCTCTTTGAGCTTTTCCCAATCTTTTCTTGGCTATTTTTTCTCCAAATAATGCAATTAAATTCTAAAGATAAAGTCAGTGTGCTAAAGAAAATTGTGATCCGATAAGCCTGAATATCTTTAGCTTTAGATTCAAAAAAATTCCTGATTAGTGACTGATGGCTAAAATACTTTTGGTGAGTGAATTACCTTTAGCCGCAGATCGGCGATTTGCCCGTCTCGATCGAAAATTATGTTCTCTTTCTTTTTGAGTTCTTCTTGGAGACGTTGCACCTCGATGGTTAGCTTTACTGTATGCATGTAATCCTAGACACATTTTATAAAGCTTTGCTCTAAATCTCAACCTCATGCAAATCTTCTCGATATCCTGAGCTTCCTTGTTTTGAACCTCCTTGCGGTAAGCACGCTAAAGTTATGAATTCATTTTTTTTTGTTTCTAAATACGTTCTTGGGATTCGACTTCACTTTTCAGTAGCTGATTTGTAACCAAAGGACCAATAGAAGAATCCTAAAATAAATATCGTAAGAACATTTAGCTTTTTAGTTTTTTACCATTGGTAAATTGAGTATAGGTGGCCCATTGTTAGCAACGTCTTTCTTAGTTGGAACTTGGCAAATTCGCTGAAAAGTAAATATAAATGTTAATAGAAAGATTGATGAATTTGTTATTTTTTAACGAAAGCACGAAAAGAGATGAAAAGACAGTCTGATATTTGATTTTTCCTAGACAGTCTGATATTTGATTGGACTTGAATAATAGTGATATCTTCATCATCATCATCATCATTGTCTTTTTCTTCACTCATTTCCTTTCGTGAGTCAGCCTTTTTCTCCGGAAATCTCAACGTTCTCTTGATTTTTGCCGACCATTCCCCTAGCACTTCTTCCATCTGCGGAAAGCACCGTTTGGCCTGGTTTTGACAATTGAAATCTCGTTGACGATTGAAAAATATGAGGGTCGAGTGGATGACATCCGCGTTTGGAAAGAATCTCCGAATTGGCGTTTCCGCAAAGGAATTTCCGGTGCTTTTCCCGGAATCACAGGCACATTCACACCGTCGAGTTTCGTCAAAAAAAATGAACTATAAAGAATCAGAAGAGCTTCTGCTCTAAAGGCATAACTGATAATAGCATTTTACATAATTTTTGATGTGATTTACCCGATTTGTGAAGGTTTTTTTCTTCAACGCTGAATATTCCCTGTTGAACCACTCGGCAATCTCCTCTCTTGATTCGGGAAAACAAGCAAGAGCCATTTTATACTGCCCCATCAGCAGATTGTCATTTCTGAAAAAATTTGCCGCTAAAAAGCTTTTCGATTGAATGTGCCATATAAATCGAACGAACATTGTGTCAAAGATGTACGATTGGCGTTGATGAACGTGCAACATTGCAGATTCCTTGGTATAATAGCCATACTTACACTTTGAGCAACAGAACTGGAAAAGGATTGATGCCGAAATAAACCGTAAATCTTCTACTTTTACTTCTACTTTCTCTACTTCTGCTTCTAAATTTTGTCTTCTAAACGATTTAAATTTTGCTGTCATCATCTGTAGGCCATACCTAGTGATAGTATGCATAATTTTAAACCCTTTTTACATAATACTTTTGGCAAAAAAATTAACTATTAGCTAGCGTCAAATTAACGTTAGTTCATCATAGCTTTTTTGGATGGTTGGCCCTTTACCCGCGCAAAAGTGGTCGACGACACGCTACCGAAATTAGTCAACTTCCAATGTTTATGCAGATCCTTAGCATATGTGCAAACCTGTGTCACTTGTAGATGAACGGCTGCATGTGACATCATTTCACTTGTCACTTTGCCTTCAACTTTTATTCGAACCGTTTCCAAACAGAGCTTAATTTGAAATAGTTCAATTTTTTAATAATTAAACTAAGAATAAGTTACATTACCGTAAATACTCTAATAGAAGCGCACCCTTTGACTCTTGAGCTCAACCTCAAGATATTCAATCTTCTGTATTGTAGTCTGTTCCCTAGGCAAAAAAACCCTCATTTCGTTTAACTTTTTGTTTTTCTATCCTTAGACAACTTTCTAACATTTTGCTACTTTATATGCCTTTTTGCCAACAGAATTGATCCTATTCTGTTGGCGCTGTAGATATTACGGTGAGTACGTACTCACCGTAATATCTACAGCGCTTATTTGTGATCGAAAAACAGCACAAAACAGTGAGCCTACAAAGGAATATCTTGAAAAGCTGACATTGGATTGCATCTACGTGCCTGGAGAGACGACCAAATTCGCACAGCTTGCTGATGTTTGTTGGAGCACTCCTTTTAAAGCATACATCAGGCAACAGTACGAAGACTGGGTTTTAACTTCGGCTTCAGACTTGAAGGCTCCAGACGGTGGGGGTGGAAATCCTAAACTACCTTCTATGGAGACTTACTTGACATGGATTGTCAAAGCATGGGAACATCTTTCGAAAGAAATCATCCAGAAGTCTTTCAAAGGATGTGGAATTGGAATTTCAGCAAACGGCGAAGAAGACAATTTGTTTCAATGTTTCAATGTTTCAAGGCCGACGGCGCAATTCCTGTGCTACAGTTGCTAAAAAACGCTCAAACGGAGAAATAAATCGATGATGTTCTGAGGCCACTCCAATCAACACGACTTCTGGAATTCCGCAAACTGGAATCCCTCTTGAGCTCGCCAAGATTTGCGATTTTCTTATGCCTCAAACGTTCCTCTAAGAAGCCCCATACTGAAAAATCCAAAGGGTTGAGGTCCGGCGAGTTGCTGGGCCAATCTTCTTTCGTGAAATGAGAGGGCAATTCGCGCCGAATCAGGTCCATTGTGGTTTTCACTCCATGGGCCGGGGCCCAGTCCTGCTGGAAGGTCATGTTAGGGTTTTTTCGACTCCAGGGGATCACAGCATTCTTGAGAATCTGATCTTGGTAAACCTGGGCATTGATTTTGACACTCTTGTCGATGAAAACAAGCTGAGTCTCCGAATCCGCAGTCACTCCTCCCCTAACCATCAATCCTTTCGAAAAAAGACCCCGTGTCCGGATTTTCCGCTTCAAAGTGTTTTTCTGGGCCGGTGACATCAGTTGACGATGGTTTTGGGAATTGTGGGCCACTTCGATAATAAAAATTTTCTCATCTGACCACAAGACGTCCTGGATGCGTGCCATCTTAAAAAACAAAGGAGCCGCTTGGCTTTTTGAACTCGATTGAATTTTGCATCATCGGTAAGAAATTCGCCTTGTCGCAGACGATAACTACGAAGTCCCAGCTCCTTTTTCACAATGTTCCGAACCGACCAATCCGAGACTTTTAGCTCCTTGGCCATTTTTCCTAAGCTTCGCTCGTCGTTTCGGTCAATTCGCAGTTTGATGAGCTTCCGGATGTTTGGCGTGTTCACCGATCGAGGTCTTCCTTTTTTGGCTTCTCCTTGACGTGTCCTTTCTCTTGTAATTGTTTGGCAAGTCGTTGAACAGTTCTGATGTTGGTTTTGAGCTTTCGCGAGATGGCCGCCTTCGACCCTCCGGCTTTCAAAAGCATAGCGATCGCTTCTCGATCAGGGCAAGCTTGCATTTCTAAAAATACACATTGAATGCTATGCACCATTCTAAAGAGGAAAAAAAACTGAACAAAATTCATGTTTTACACAACGTAAAAGGATACTTTAAATCGCATAAAAGTTAGTTCAAAAAGACGCGACAATACTTTTTTCGGACCCTGTAGAAGCACACCCCAGCGGGGGAAAGAAAAATTAGAAGCGCATGCGCTTCTATTAGAGTAAATATACGGTAATAGTATTTTTAATTTTCAGTACAAAAGGTCAAGCTTTTTACCTCGCATTTCGAGCTCTTCTCTGATTTTCTCCGGTTTGGATCCATTATGATTTGCTAAAAAATAAAATAAACACAATACTAAACAATAACAGTAACAATAACACAATAAGTAAAATCCATATTTTAAATGCAACGATAAAAACAACAATTTCAAGAAGTGAAAACGAAGAAAACGAATATGAATGAAAACATCTGAACGAGTAGACAAAAGAAAAGAGAATTGATGGAGAAAAGGAGAGGAGAAAAGGAGAAAAATTGAACAGATAATTAGATACACAAAAAAAACAATTACAAAGTAAAACACATAAAGAAGACAAGCAAAAAATGAAAAGAAAGAAAAAATAAAGATGCCGAGAAAAGAAAAGGAGACGAGGCTTTGTTTGTCAAGGGTATTGTGGTGGACGCCTGGGATGAAAGACCACCCACGATGGGTCCCTCGATGTTTTAGGCTAATTACTAGACAGATAGGTCTAAAAATTTGCATCTGGTGGTGGGGATCCGATCCGAATTTAAAAGCAAATTCCAAAAATATTTAGATATGAGGGATTTTGAGCGCTTTTGCTTGAATACTTTATGCTCCCATCGACAGTCGCGCGCCTTCTGGCACGAGGACAGCAGCCCGCCAATTCAATTACCCAACCAGCGCAAAACGACAAAAAGCGTTACATCTTCTCAGAGAAACACTACTTTTGAAAATTTCCAAAGGATACTACACTTAATTTTTACTTTTCTATTAAACAGAATAAAAAAACTTGTAAAGCGAATCAGTTTAGACTGGTTTATGGCTTATTTTTGAGAAATTCTTTTAAAACATTAAAACCAGTAGTTTAGTTTAGTAGTTTAGAAAGTAATTTTTTAGCCTTGTAGCTTTTGCTTTGGTTCACTCTCGTTCAAGAAAGCTGTGTTATGAAAAACGGCCTCGTTGTGAATGAGTTAATAAAGTTTTGATTGATTTGGTAATGGCTAAAATTGGTGGATTCGAAGCAAATATGATACATAATAAAAGTGACAATGAGAACGACTAGAGCTCTCAAAAAAGCACGCATCAAAGCTACGGCTCTTTCCTATTACTAGGTTCCTTAAAAAAATCGAGTATCTTATACAGCGATTTGATGTATAAGATAGCTTTGGGTTGTTGTAGCCAAATTTCCAATACTCTTCGCTGTATGCCTCGACGGACGCTCGAATGGGGCTCAGTTCATCGGAAAGCTCCAGAATCCTAAATTAATATTAATCAAAGACTCTCTAAATAAAAGCTTTTCAGACGTTCTTCTTCTTATTTGAATAATGGCTTGCATGACAATCCTCAGCTGATAACTAAGCAGGAAAATATAACCGAGAAAACAAGAAGTTTAATTCGTGACCGATAAAAGCTTCCTCAATACTGTCAATGTAGAGAGTTGTAATTGTGATACTTCCGATACTGGATCTGTTATGCTTCAAGATCGAATACTAAATTTAAGTTTAATTCATTAATTTAAGGCATAAATATGGTTGCCTCGTCTAAAAAATCGCACACCATTGTAAAAGGCGAGCCCAATCGTGTGATACAACCTAGTCGGAGCTTTCACAAAGTAGTAAAACTAAGACTTATTTACAGCTACAATAACTAACCTCCCATAAGCGGTCCAAAGTATTGCTGAGCGTCTTAATCTTCTGCTAACTTTTCTTAATGGTGTCAGTACTTCTCAAAGCGTTTGTAAACACAGCAGCTTTTAGATAAAATTGTTGATTGAGCTCCGCAGTTGATCCTAAAGAGAATCGGATCGGATCGGATCGGACCAGGACCGATCCGATCCGATAGTCCGACCGATCCGATCCGATCCGATAGTCCGACTGATCAGATTAGCCCGATCCGATCAATCGGGCTTCCAGATTAAATTAATATTTTACGTCTGCAATTTACAAAATACAAGCGAAAGCTCTGTTTTCTATTCTGCGCTGCTTTCTGTAAACGATAGCCGTGTTTTCTATTTTGCAACCAAGCACACAAATTACTACTGCGTGATCTTTGCCGTCCAAGCGACAAAAACATTTGTATCCTGCTTTTCATTTTGGACAGTAGCGAATAACAACGTTAGGTTTTATTGTAAAATTGTTTTTGTATTTTGTGATTTTGTTATTTACTCTTAATTTACTTGCTAGTTTGTTAACGTGAAATTCCTTTTTGAACTCATAAACTGTTGAATCAATTAAACACTAATCAATTTGAGTTCTGAACGAGAAACTCGAGTTTTGTAGCAGTTCTAAGCTGTGATAACACATTTTCGCTTGGTCCGACCGATCGGACTAGCCCGATCCGATCTGATTTTGCCAAAAAAAACGATGTCTCTAGGGTAAGGTACCCGATTTTCTTAAGGCACCCGTTACACGGTTAAAGTAGCCGATTTTTTTTAAGGTATCTAGTAATAAGAAAGAGCCAAAGCCAAAGCCAAAGCTCAAATGCAATATAAGAATCGAATTAAAACAATCAAGCAACAGCAACAATTCTTGCGCGTTGAACAGCTCTTTGAAAATTTCAATTTAAAATTGAATTTTCCTCTTCTTGGCAACGGTAGCACATAAATGAATTTGAAAGTTCGCAGAAAATCACTTTTAGCTTTGTATACTCACACATACCCACACACACTGCTTTGCACAGCCAATCATCCTTGGGTGATTACAGTAAATTTAGCCCTAACTGAATATCTTTAAGTTTCAATGAGCCAGATCTTCGGTTACCATGAAGCAACACTAGTTTTCAAAGAGCTGTTCAACGCGCAAGAATTGTTGCTGTTGCTTGATTGTTTTAATTCGATTCTTATATTGCATTTGAGCTTTGGCTTTGGCTTTGGCTCTTTCTTATTACTAGATACCTTAAAAAAAATCGGCTACTTTAACCGTGTAACGGGTGCCTTAAGAAAATCGGGTACCTTATACTAGAGACATCGTTTTTTAGCAGTATCACTTTCCAGTTGAAACGTAAAAATTAGATTTACTAAATTAGATTTACTAAATTAGATTTACTAAATTTAGATTTACTAAATTAGATTTACTAAATTTGATTTACTAAATTAGATTTACTAAATTAGATTTACTAAATTTGATTTACTAAATTTGATTTACTAAATTTGATTTACTAAATTTGATTTACTAAATTTGATTTACTAAATTTCGAGTGCATTGCGAATTTTCATTCTCGAGGAATGTTAATTGTTGGGAAAGTGCTTTCCGGTTGTGGGGGAATTTTGTTGTGAGTGCTTTGTGAGCGTCGCGTTTTTTCTCTTTTTCTCATCGCTCTCTTCATTCATTCCATTATTTCCCCAATTCTTTTCCATGACTATACACCGTTGATCTCTTCAAAAGCACGTTGATCATCAGATGTAAAACTTGCAATCTTGCAAAAAACTTTCTTTTTTTCAATATTTTAAAATTTGCAATTACAGAATAATTGTTGATAGGATTCTTTCATGATAAATGACAAACAATTTCTCCTAAAAATTATGCACTTTTAGATAAGATTTTAGATAAGATTTTGCTTTATTTCCTTTCAAATTCCATTTCCATTCTATTCCATTCCATTCTATTCCATTCCATTCTATTCCATTCCATTCTATTCCATTCCATTCTATTCCATTCCATTCTATTCCATTCCATTTCATTCCATTCCATTTCATTCCATTCCATTTCATTCTAGAATTTAAATACGAGTTTGATATTAGATATTTTAAGATGTCATCACCATTCGGGAGTTCGTCGACACGTCGTCGACCGATCTCGCGATTGCAAGCTGAGGAGAGAGTGCTTGATCGAATCTCTCGAGATGTAAGAACATTAGGAAAATTTGTGATTTAAAAAGAAATTGTGTCATTAAAGTGCATCTAAGCAAGAAGTAAGTAAGAACTTTTTGCAAACACACAGCGGGATTCAGCCTCGAATCGAAATAATGTTACTTGTTTGAGGCCGCAAAATCAGCAAAGCTTTTTAAACTTTTGTATGAGCTTTTATCTTTTACAAATTATAACTTTCAGGCTGAAGAACGAATGCAAAAGAAACGACAAGCAAGGGAAGAAGCCAGACAGATTAGGATGAGTCAAATCGAGAAGAAAATTGTCGAAGTGAGCTGCATTTAAAGTTTTTTGGATAACTAGAAGTTAGGATACAATTACAATAAACACTTTTTATTAAATTTTGAGCAAACGATAGGCTATTAAGTACGAAGTACGAAAAGAAACGAAAAGAAACGAAAAGACAGACTAATATTTCTCGTCAAATCAAAAATGAAATCCTTACAGGAAGATGCCGAACACTACCGGGTCGACGGAGCTGTAAGTTCTTCGCTCTTCTTCTTTTCAGCATGAAAATTTAAACCCTATTTAAACCCTATTCACTAGTTTTAAAATAATATTTTAGTAAAACATTTGAATGGATTTTGAGAATGATTTTGGGATTTTGGGAAAAATTTGGGAAACTAACGATTTGTTTGGAATAATTCAGAGTACATCTAACGGTCGCACCTCCTCTATCTCCGAAGATAAACTCGTCCTTCAGGTGTGTTTCAATGCGCTGAAAATAATTCGGAATGTGTTTTGGATTGAACTTTCGAAAACAAATGCTTGCACTTTTCATCTTAATCCTTTGAACTTTGCTGAAACTTTGCTGGAAGACGCGCGACGAAATCGAGAGACATTTTAGGATAGAATTTTAGGATAAAATCGGAGAGTTGGAGGACAAATTCCAACAGGCCATGTACATGTACTCGCAGCTAGACAACGAAAAATCTGCTTTGTTATACGAGGTATTGTTTGCATAAATGAAATAATAGAAGTCTTGTTTTTCAGGTAGATTTGCTGAAAGATGATTTGGAAGAAAAGGAAGTCCTCTATTCACAATCACAAAAAGAATGTCGCGATTTGAATAGCGTAGGTTCAATAATACACAAATTTGGCTAAATCTCTTTGATTGCTTTTTCTCAATTTCTAAATTTAATTTATTTGAAATTTTCATATTACTTTAGGAAGTGAAAGCATTGAAGAGAACAATCGATGGACTGAAAGCTCAGCAACAGCAACTTCGAACCGAGATCGCTCATCGAGACTTTTTAATACAGGTTCGTTTTCGTTTTCTGAACAAAGGCATAAGCATATTTTTATTTAATAAGTAGATATATGTAATGTTTAGCTATACCGCATTGATTCTAATAGAAGCATTCTCTAAAAAGTTAGACCCTAAGAAAACTAGAGTGTGTTCCTCGCGAGTAATGCGCTTTTTAAAACGCACATTTGGGAAATATTATCGTACTTTTAGCGAAAATTCTTGCAAAAAATCGTCGCGAAAAAATCACGAGCGCCGACTTATATACTATTCCTTTTCAAGATGTTTAACTGATTTGGTGGCAAATCCCCTTCAAATGTAAAGGTATTTCAATTTACCGCGACGTGTAAAGAGGGTTACTCGTAGTTATTCGGTCAAAAACGTCGATTAATCGAGTAAAAATTACTCATACAAATTTTACTCGGTAGGAACACACTCTACTGAAAACTCATCGAGCCTTTAGGAAAACGGCTTGACTCTGATCCAGACAATGACCGAGAACCCCGATCGGCCGACTGAAGTCACGTAAGAAACGATTTTTTGTAAAATATTTCTTTTTTTTTCTTTCAGAATCTCCGATCCGATTATCTTTTCAATTGAAACGACGAAAGCCCTTGACAAGGCGATTCCCGGATCAGCAAGTGTTGATGAGAAAATTCGAAAGCTCATTGACACGGTCAGTTTTTAAATTCATTTTATTGATTTCTTTCTTTTATTTAGAATAAAAAGATGCGCAAAGACATCGAAGAAATGGAGCAAATGATGTTGGCGAGAAGGCAACGACAAAATGAACGAGGGGACACTCTCCTGAATGGAGCAAACGATGATGTCAACAGTGCGTTTTAAGCAAAAAAAAAAGAACTTCTAAATGAATCATTGAAAGTGAAAAATTTTTCAATTCAACAGGTTACAAAGATCAAATCAGTAAGTTTCTTTTGTCGTAGAGTTCGTTCATTCATTTTGCGTTGCGTAAGCTTTGTTGAGTTCTCTCTCGGTTCAGTGACCCTCATAAGAGCTCGTCCAGGTAACAGCTTTCCAATTTTCGTTTGCACTTTTATTTCTGCATAACTCTTTACATTTTTCTTTTGGATAGAAAATTGCAGATCTTTTTAGAGAAAAAAGAATATTTTTAGAAGAGGCCGCGAAACAATTGGGCGAATATAAGTTGAAGTTGCAAGAAGCGGAAAGGGAAAACACGAATATGCAAGGAAATGTGAGTTGAAATTGTAAACTATTGAGCTAAATCCTTTTAACGACCAAGAATTAACACTTAAATCCTTTTGAAACTGCTATAGTTGAAAAAAAAGCTCAACATTTAGTTGATTCGAATCGAAGGGCAAATGAAGCGTTACAAACAGGGCCTGGAAACTTCAGAGAAAGAAATCGATGATATGAAAAAGGAAAATCGAACGCTTAAAAAAGAGGTAAGGTGATGTTTTTGGGATTATGGATCTTTTATGAATAAAATTGCATCAAATTTAACAAAATTTAACGCCATTTCCACTCTCAAACGGTTGAAAATGGTACGGTACGGTTGAAAATGTTATAGGTACGGTTGGAAATGTTATAGGTACGGTTGGAAATGTTATAGGTACGGTTGAAAATGGTACGGTACGGTTGAAAATGTTCAAACCCAGTAGGGAAAGAATTTTAAGGCTTAGCTTTTTTTTGCTTCTTCTCGGAAATCCGGGTCTTTTGAAAAAGACTTTTTCATTATGAAAAGCTATCATATACAAAACCCAAAACTAATTCGATTCTCTTGAGACTTTTCTTGTGACAAAGGGTTAAAATAAACTCTGCCAATAGGTTTTACGACCCTAAAAATCCCGGGGGACAAATTTTTAACACTAAATCTCATTTGGGAATCATTTACAGAACAAAAGAGAAATTCCTATGTAAATGAGTGGCGAAGTTCTTTGTGAGGTCACTTAATCGCTCTCCATCTAACAAACCGCTCCGGTATAGGGTGCTTTTCTTTTTTAATCGGTTAAAGGAAGCGAGTGACCTGGTTCCTCGGCTTTGCGCGTCACTATGCCCGAATTCTCGAGACGAATTTTTGGCCCATTTTTTGAAAAGACCCGGATTTCCGGACACCTTTTTTGATATCCAATAAATGTGTTCATAAGGTTTCTTTCCCCAAATAAATCTATCGAAACATTTCCCATTTTCGCTTTCTCTTCTCGTGTTCAAGATGGGCAACATTGGAATGAGTTTGATCTCGGTGTCCTCATCTTTATCCCAATCGTCCCTTCTCTTCTCTTCCCTTCATCCACCCCCACCTCATCTATTGCTTTTGAAGGCATTCACTATCTTTTCCTTCTTTTGTCCCTTTATTTACCGATGACCACATTTTTCCCTTTTTGTGCCATTCGTTGGATTCACGTTTTCCTTAATTCATTTCACAAAAAAGAGAGAGATCAATCTAGCAAGAGACGTCTCCTCCTTTTCTTGTGGGTAATCTAATGTTGCATTGTTTTTGGAAAAGTATAGCTTGAAAAGCTTGAGTAGGAGATTTCCTGTTGACGAGAAGTGAGAAACAAGGAAAGCCAACGTCAGTGGCATGTAGAAGAATGAAATAGGGGTATTGGGGGTGTCGGTACTCCCTAGGGGACTCACAGAATCCATTCCCCTTTCCCCCTCAGATTTTCAGCAACAAATTCATTTTCGTTTCCCTTTCTTTTCATTTCCAATCCTTTTTATTTTTGTCAAAGCCATTGGGATCCTTGAGAAGGAAATAAATTAACTGATCGAAGAAAAATCTCTGATGAAAGTTTAAAAAGAAAATGACAAACGAAGCCAATTATAGAGAGGGGGATTCTAGAGAAATTCTAGAGAAAAACTTTTTGCTTTAGAATTGCTTTATGAAATAGCAAAAAAACGAGAAAATGTCTAGTCAAAAATAAAGTTATAAAAGTTATAAAAGTCAAAAACAAAGTTATAAAAGGAAATTTGTTTAGCTTCGAGATGCGACGAATGCATTGGACGAGGCAAAAGACACGAATCGACACTTGCAGAGTCGACTCGACAAGCTGCGCAATTCACGTGTTTATCCAACAACAACAACAGCTAATACAGACAGTTGAAATAATAGAATAGTCGTTGTTTATATACTGTATTTCCTAGGCTAAAGATCTAATAGAAAAAAAAAATTGATAGAATCCATTTGATTGATCACATTTCATGGTGAGAGAATCTCAATGGAAAAAAGGAAATCGTATATTCGTGAATTTGGTTTATTTGTACCCTTTCTAGATTATTGCTTTAATATTAATTAAGAAATTTTTTAAGCATAAAAAACTTTTTTTCCCTTATTCAAGTCTAGCATCGTTTAGCCTTTTGAATTTGTGTTCTCTTGTGTAATTTTGCATATTCTTTCTGGTCTTGACACTACGCAGAAAAGAAATGCTCAAGTGTTTTTTGTTTTTTTCTGAAAAACTACGCATTGATGTGCCTTGAATTTTTGTCCTTCAACAAGTGAATTTTTTTTTTTGCAAATTCCCGCTTTCGACACACTTTTCTGACGTGTTTCACCCTTAAATTTATATATCTGATGATGATCAGCAATTTATATGTTGTGTCCGATTTAGATTTCCGTCCGATTTAGATTTCCATTCGATTTAGATTACAGTCGATATCGGACGTCCGATTTAGATTCAATCTAAATCTTATATAGATTGAACAATAATATAAACATGCTTAATATATGTTCTTAAGCGTTTTCTGTAGTTTTCTGCATTTTTCAAAGGTCTTTTATTGATTACAGTCTATATCGGACGTCCGATACAGATCGAACAATAATAAACGTGCTTAATATATGTTCTTAAGCGTTTTCTTTTCATAGTTGGGCTTTCTTTTCAGAAAAAGACAGTAACAGACCTTTGAAAAATGCAGAAAACTACAGAAAACGCTTAAGAAAATATATTAAGCATGTTTATATTATTGTTCAATCTATATAAGATTTAGATTGAATCTAAATCGGACGTCCGATATCGACTGTAATCTAAATCGGACGGAAATCTAAATCGGACACAACATATATATTGTTGATGATTTCTATTTATGCTTTATCGAGGACATGATATTTGAACTAAATTCTGAATTTTCGATGTCCTTTAGGCTCATATTATTGCAGTTTATGTAGATTCTCGAAAACGCCTTTAACAGTAATCCCATTTTGCCTTTAAATCTTTTTTTGTTTTGTTTCTTATCTATTTCTGTTTGTATATAAGAGTCTAGCATCAACGCATAATTAGATTTTTTTTTGGGAAAGATGCAATTCTTATTTAACTTGCATATATTGTCAAAGATTTTATTCGATAAATACTTTTTTTCCAAGAAATGACGATTAAAGAAAATGGGAGAGTGATGTTAAAAATGAGGATTGCTTTGGAAAGAAGGGCGTGGTTGGATAGAAGAGGAGGGGAGGAGTAGGTGTGGAAGGGGGAAAGGGTTTAAAGGAGAGGGAAAGGCCACAACCCTTCACTCCTTCTGCTCCCCTATCAACACCCATCAGGCCATCCAGAGCCTTCTCGGTTGCAGTCACCATACCCACAGTGAGTTTCCCCATTCTTGTTATCCAGACATTTTAACTTCTTGCCTTCCTTCTCTCGCTTCTCCTCTTGCTCTCATCCACTACCGTACTCTAATCTCCTTTGGTTTGAGGGAAATTTTAAGCAGCACAAAGTACAATGAAAGTTCTACATAGTCTGATTAGTTAATCTTTCTTTTAAGTGATTCTCTTATATTGAAATTATGAAGAAAACTTCAATTATGAAGTTCTTCTTTCACAAAATCCCAAACGAACTTCTTTAACTCGATCTTTACATCATTAGATCTTTACATCATCATTACATTCATCCACTCAAACTCCAAGTTGAAAAGTTGACTCTATTTTGAAAAGATTTCCTTACCCATATGGAATCTTTAAAATCTCGGAGACTTTCCTAATTCAGTCTGCATATTTGAGGCTATTTGTGACGATTATGTGAGTAAATCTGGAAGAACGGATGATGAGAAAAGGAAAAGATGAAAGAGTCAAGGGAAAGAGTCAAGAGAAAGGAGTCTCTCTTTCTTTTCTGATCCAACAAAGCCATTTGGGTATTCGAAGTGTGAAAATGAACCCCCAACAGGCAATCAGCCATCCTCTCGTTTACCCCCTATTTCTATTCAATTCACCTCCCACTCGCTCATACATCTACGGTATCTTGACGACAAACATTTGGCTTTTATTCCTTGTTTTTTTTGGATTGAATGTATGAAAAGAGAATACTTTCAGATGTTTGGCCGTTTCATGCTTTTGGTGTCCACAATTCTGCTCGCGCTTTTCGCTTTCACAACGGCCAGTCCACTCATCTACCGGAATCCCCAGGTATTATAGCTTCGCTATCTCAAAAATAGTGGCCTTCTATTACACAGCCATTTCACAGCAAAGGAAAGTTCTTTATGAGCTAGCTGGTTTTCTATTTATAAATGGATAATTCTAAACTTGTCTTCTGAAGTCCGTGTTTCATTCATACTTTTCGAAGCATGACGATTTGCAGGCGAAAATTGTGTTATTCGCAAAACCAGGCTATTCTAACGGTGTTTCCCTTTTTGGCCTAGTAACTTGAAAACAAAACTCCACATCGTTAAGGCCTTGAGTCTCGTTTTTCTGCGAGACAAAGGGATTGCAAACGAAATCTGATTTTCGTGTAAAAGCAACCCATCAAAGCTGAACGCAAAAAGAGCATTTTTCATATATCTATTTTCATAAAGCTTACCGGAAATGAATTCTCATGGAAAATTTGGCACATTCAAGCCAAATAAAGGGGTGACAAGTTGTGAAAGGGCAAAGGTTTTCATGGGTAATTTATCATCGCCTTTCAATGGAATTTTTTTCTATTTATGAATGAAGCGCGGAAATTCCATGAAAACAAGCATCATTTTTGTTGAAAAGGCTTGTCATTTTCCCCATTGATTAGCTCTTTCATTGGCAATAAGTTTACTAGGGAAAGTGGGAAAAATTAGCTCAATCCTCTCGTGATCCGGCAGTGCGTTAGGTTCGTGTTTCTGACGAGTGAAAGAATGTAGTCACATTGTCCCGCTACAAATAAAAGTTTTAGAGCGAAAATACTTTCTAAAGATAATTGGTTTTCTAAAAGTTAAAATAGAGATCAGTTTTTGTAACGGTCCAGGAGCTTTGTTTTCGTTGTTTCCATTCAACTCCCCAAACCATCTCACAGTTAGTTTTGGCCTTTATTATGCTCGGGCTACGAAAAGTTCCGGATTCTCCACTCGGTTCCCAAATGGAAATAGATTTCTTTCTCATTCCGAGGAGAAACACAAAATTTATCGCGTAAAAAAATAATCTCGTATCGTAGTAAAACAATAAAAGAATAAAACAATAAAAGAATAAAATAATAAAAGAATAAAATAATAAAATAATAAAATAATAAAAGAATAAAACAATAAAAGAATAAAATAATAAAATAATAAAATAATAAAATAATAAAACAATAAACAATCATCCTAAAAAATTTCAATCAAGCTGACAAAAAAAAACGACTTGAAAATGAAAAAAGAAACGATGACGCGGCACTCCTATCAACTACCTCCAAATGGCGGTGACGTCAATTGGAATGCAACGTCGCGCAAAAATTTATTTAAACATTTAAAATTTGCGAAATGAATTCCAATTTAACATGAAAACGTCTCTAAAAATATTTTTTTAAGATCTTTCTCTACTGATCAGAGGATCGATTAATAAAACTCAATGGGATATGTTGCAAACTTCTTCAAATTTCCATAGCTTTTGCACGTAGAAGATGTTTCATTTCAATTTGAGCCAATAAAGGTTCAGTTAGGGAAAATCGCATCGGTAAGTTGAAGAAGAGCGACTCGTGTGAAAATGAACTAGAAGAAGTGGGCTCAGTCATAATTCTCCCCACACTCGCAACTTTGATTTTACTTTCACACGTCATTTTTAGCACCTCTTTTCTTACTATTTTTACAAAGCATAACTTATAGAAATTTTTGAATGATTCCTATAATATAGTTGATATTTAAAGTCTCATCATCTGAATGTGGAGAAGTGCGTGATTTTTTCTTCTTCAAATCTACTTGCTGAAGCTGACTGAAATGAAGCTACTTGCTTCATTTTTCTTTAAATGAATTTCCTTAAAGTTATTCAGTTTTTCCAAGTCGAAATTGAGGGAAAATGAAAAGCAAAAAAAAAGCCCTAAGCTACCGAAAACTTCCTGACTTAATTTTGGGAATGGCAATGACGGACGCTAAAAATGGGGAAGTCTGGAGGCGTGAGAGATTTACATTAGAGAACGCGGTGGTCCCCATGAAACCTCAAACGCCCAAACTCCCAATTTTCGGGATTAAACTTACTATTTGAAAGGACAAAGAGAAAAATGCAATCACGTACCCAAAAAGCTAAGAAGTTAGTGTTAAAGTAAAAAGATTTTCTTTCAGTTTGACGACATGCGGGAATTCCGAATGGCAAAACGAGCAAACGCAGAGCTCATCAATGGATTGATTGGCATGGATCTTAGCAAGGTGAGTCTAACAAAAACTTCAAAAACAAAAGAAAGTATCTGAAAAAGTTTTGCGAATAATTTGTTTCATTTTTCTTTAACTGAATGTCTAAATCAACTGTGTAAAAGTCTAAATCAACTCATACAAAAGCTGTTATAAAAGTTAAACAAATACTTTTTAGCTGTCTCAAGTGGGGAAACGTTCGAACGCCGAACTGATCAACGGACTTCTTGGCATGAATCTCAACAAGGTAACTTTCAAATGCTCAAATGTTATTAAAAAAGGAAAAAAAAAACAAAATTTCAGCTCTCATCAGCTGGACGAAAATAGGAAACATCGGAAATAAAAGAATGTTATAGCTTGTAAAGATTTCTTTTTTTTTGTTTGTTTCTTTATTCCGAAATTTCTACACACATAAACAATCTCTGTGACTTTACATCTCAAAGATACAACGTCAAAAAGGGTAAAAAAAAACTGAATTTTCACTGAATTTTCAAATATTTATGTTTCTAGTGTGCTGTTTTTGGTCTCCAAATATTTTTTTTTTGTCTGTCATTAGGCGTGCTCGGATGTCCGCACTCTTTTTGGTGTTTATGTACGAATGTGCCAATAAATCTTCTTGTGAAAAAGATTTAAACTTTAAAATACCGTATTTCTTCGAATAGAAGACCGTGAACACATCAACACCGTTGGTGTGTTCACGAAAACTGATGGAGTAAAGCCAATTCCTTGATAAGGCAAGAAAAAAAAAATCTTTAGATTCATACAGCTACTTGGATGATTGTTAGAGACAATCTTTTCATGAATAGCTCGTTGGGTGAGCTGGCTACGAGGCGATAGGCTATTAAGTACGAAGTACGAAAAAAACGAAAAGACAGACATTAGTCTGTCATTAGACATTAGACAGACAGACAGACAGACATTTCTCGTGAAATCAAAAATGAAATCCTTACAGGAAGATGCCGAACACTACCGGGTCGACGGAGCTGTAAGTTCTTCGTTCCAATTCCGTTGATTATTGGCACAGTGCAGGATGAGGATGCCGATTTTGTTTTTTTTTGTTTTCTCCAAAAATAAAAGAAACTATCAATTTTCGTAATACCGTATTTGTTCGAATAGAAGACCGGGTAAAGAGTATCATCGCGTACTCCTGCGTAGCAGCCCTTTTTAAAATTTCTTTTCTGCATAAAAGCTTTCAATGAAGTGCTATAGAGCTGGAAAATGGCTCAAAAATCTGTTAGCTCATGTCGTATTTTTGAGTCATTTTCCAGCCCTATAGCACTTCATTGAAAGCTTTTATGCAGAATAGAAATTTTAAAAAGGGCTGCTACGCAGGAGTACGCGATGATACTCTTTACCCGGTCTTCTATTCGAACAAATACGGTAAGTTTTCCTGTGCTCAGGCTGTAGGCGTTTAACTCATAAAAAGGTTTATAATAAAGTAAATAGCATTTTTTTTCTTTTTACATGAAAGCATTTATATTCTGCTGCTCAATGAATACAGAAGATCAACAGAAATCAGAAGAGTAAAAAGCATAAAAATAAAGTAAAAACAATACTAAGAAACATTTTAATAAAAAAAGGGGCAAGTAGTTGGATCAATGGCCATCAAATAATTTTCTGAGAGATAATCTGAGAGAAAATGAGAGAAAAACTAAAATGGCCATTGAACGTTGAGCAGTGTGTGCTTGTCCAAACCCCGTAAAAAACAAATAATCATAAAAAGCCCCGGTTGATCGTCTCATTGTAAAGATTTTCGATAGAAAAAATCGATACTTTTTTAGTATTTTGCCAAACTTTAGCCTACAATTTAAACATTTTGTGTAATAGATTTCGAAAAATTCAAAAACTCAAAAACTATTAGCATCTACAAAACCTAAACTATCTAGTAATGATTTAAAGTCAAAATTTGAATAATTTTAAGAGTTAAATTAGTGTTACAAGTTTGCCAAAATTGTTACCTATACTAAAAAAGTGGCGATAGATCGTTGAAAATGATTTTTATGATTACCGTATTTTCTCTAATAGTAGTGCACCTGGAGTGTCGCCTAAATTCCTCGAAATCTCGAGAACCGCTTATCAGAACCTATCGATGTGAGGTCGGAAAATGTAGCTGACGATGAGATCTTGTGGGGGATTAGGGTGTTGAGCTTCTGCAAAAGCTTGGAAACCGTAAAATAGGCATCAACTCGGCTCGCCGGGGTGCACTACTATTAGAGAAAATACGGGATATTCACTCGAATATAGATAGTCATCGGGGATTGAGGGCACTGAGATCAGAAGAGAAAAAGAAAGACTCTCTTATTGCTTTTCTTTTCAGTAAGAACCTTTTTGTGATTGTGAAAAAGCAATAGAAGAATAGCATTAATATATAATCATAAACAAAAATAGAATAAAAATGAGGGAGTCAATCACAGAACATACCTGCTGAGGAGCGTACCGTAATCTTTGTGGGGGGAAATATAAAAGAAAAACAAAAGAAAAACAAAAAGGAGTTCAATTCTTCATTTTCCATTCATTTTCTACATATACATAGATGTATTAGTTTTCGATTTTTGTCCAGAAAATAGAAAAAAATCTTTTCTTTGAGATGTTGATTATCGTTTGGTCATCAATCTGTTACCAATTTTGGGTCTAAACAACATGTTTTTTTGTTTTTTGAATCAAGAGAATCTACCGTAAATACTGTAATAGTACCCCACCGCCCATAATGACGGTGCGAAGTGTTGCGTAGTCTGGCTTTGAACGAGTTTTTCTCGACACCTGTTTATGCTACAATGTGCGCTTAGGTATCAGAAAATAGCCCTGAATTTCAACTATTTTTTGATACCAAAGATGCATTTTTTGAAAGTACGGGCGCTTTGAAAAAAAATGAAATACGAAAAAACTTTTGCGACTACGCGACTGTACGAAGGGGGTAGGGTACTATTACAGTATTTACGGTAGGTTTTGTGATTAAAAAAAACAAGTTGTTTCTAAAAGAGAGAAGCTTAAAGAAAGACCAAAAATACAAATATATTCTTTGAAATACAAAATGAGAAAACCTATTTGTTAAGGAGCAAAAAAAAAACAAGTAGCTTTTCAGAGTTTTTCAGCTCAAGACAACACTTTCAAAAAGCTACCAAAATGGGGAGTTTCGATGCAGATCTACCGGTTGAACTGAGCAAAAAGAAGAGGAAGAGAAGATCCCTTTTTCGGGGAATCGTCGATGGCTTGTGTGAGAATGAAATTCAAGAATTTGATGACTTTCTAGATGTCGTGCACGGTTCTCAACTCTTTCATCGACTTGTCAACGATGAAGAATTTGTTCTTCTCGCCGAACATGCCCAGAACGACAGCCGTGTTCTCGATCACAATGTTGAAAGGGATCGTCACCAACGCTCCAATTAAGTAGCCCACTAGCCGCAAGAATGACCGCCTGAAATGGTAAAAGCTGAAATTAAATTCGGAAAGTATTAAGCATAGAGTAACCGTTGAGCCTTTTAGACTCTAGATCAGCTCCATTTTACTGGTTAATGATACCAGTACTACCGTTAAGTATCGCTAAGTACACTGTAGATCAAATAGTATACTGTAGATTAAATAGTATACTATAGATCACATAGTATACTGTAGATCAAATATAGTTAATCAAGTATCCTGTAGATTAGTAACTTATAATTAGTCATACTGTAAATTTCCCCATTTTTGTTTTTACTTACCGATACCGATGAGCACACGATTTCAAAACTCCGAATATGTACATGTAGAGATTGACAGCTCCAACAAATGTAAGAGCAAAATCAATTGGCAAGAACTTTGGCAGAGGAAACAACGGGCAAATGAAGATCTAGAACAATGCTAGATTAAACCAAAAGAACCTTCACCAAACCTGCAGTGAAGTAAGTGGCATTGCCGCCCAGGCATACAGAGACATAGCCAAGAGCAACTGAAAAAGAGAAAAATTCGATTTCAAATCAAACTCAATAAAGCCAAAATCTAGACTAAACAGTACTTTGTGTTTGAGCGGGATGGCGCGCGAGTGCACGGTCAGAAGAATTCCTTGTAGCCAACGTTTTCTTTGCTGAAGAAAATCGAACATTGTGAATGGTGATTTCTCGTGCATTTCCCCTGAAAATGTGCATTGAAATTGGGGGAATTTCATTGATGTAACAAACCATCAATGAAATCAAAAGTGTATCCATGTTGCATTGCGACCATCGAAAAGAAACAATCCTCAGCAATCGACCCTTCCATTCCATGATCGTATGAAACCTTTCTCTCAGCTCCCACCTGAAAATATGAATCGATATTAATGTTGGAAAGTTTTGTGAGCTAATTTTTAACTCTATCCCAGATATCTACAAACAGATTTGTGATACTTAGACTATAGCTTTAGAAAAGTATTTTTCGAGGACTAAAATAAAGAGCTTATTTCATTTCAGCTAGATTTCAGCATCTTTTTGTAATTAAAGTTCTTTTGGGCAGTTCTTTTTCTCTGGATCAGCTGATTGTGTTGATCCCCTGAAAGATTGACTCTCTTTTCCCATCAGTATAACCCCATTGACTCTAGTCCGAGTGCAAATAACACCCCGCAATGAGAGGCGCAAACACGCCGAGATCAAACGAGAACCAATTGACAGACGATTTACCTTAAAAACTCGTCCTTTTTTTTTCACTTTCCCACTAACACTCAAATATTTTTGTTTGTCTATCCAAAGGTCACCAAATAAACAGCTTTTCTTTTTCAAAAGTTGAGTTTCGTTTCGAGGAATCAAAAGTTTTATGGATAAAGTCTTTTTTAAAAAAAAAACTAGAACATTTTTTTCAAATTATCTATTTCTGCAGGACAATGCACGGTCTCCAAGAGTGCCATTATTGGGTGATAAATATTTAAACGAAAAAGAAACCCGTGAAAGAACATCACCACTAACTCTTTTCTTTAGAAAGAATCTCTTCCGATTCACATCATCTTTTAAATTCCCTTAAAAAGACCACACACGGAAATACTCAAGGTGAAAGATCGTCATGAGACCGTCATTGAAATCCAATAATCTCCTTTTTAATCTTTTCTCAAGATATTTTCTTTAATGAGAAGTTTTTGTTGAAATGTCTCACCTGTGTGACCACGTAAGATCCCTTCCAGCCAAAGAGAGGTTTGTGGAAAGCCTTGAATTGAAAACGCAATTTCCCCATATCATCTGCCACTCTGCAAAAAAAAAAAACTCGTGATAATTTTGTTCGAAAATTGTGCAAATAATCTGAGAAATACACTAAAGCACTTACCTAAACGAATCGGCGAGCGTCGTGAACCAATTGACGACATCCCCGTTCGCGTACGTGATTACACCTTGCCCAAATTGATGTTTCCCATCTTCGCAAAAGTTCAGAATGCCGCAAATCTGAAAAACGAGAATATCAAATATAGATTCACACATTAAAACAGATAAAACAATCAATATAAGCACAACTCACAACACAACAAATCCTATAAGTGTAGGGAAAAAAAACCCATATCTGGGAAATGAACTGATAATCTTGTTAGCGGGATTGAACCTGATCGAAATTGATCTCCCGACTAAGATACGGGTCTCTTAGCCAGTCGGCTATGGTGGCAAGAAAGACGAGAGTGAAAGAAAAGGTTTTACCGCGTTTTGAGTGAGAAGGGTTTCTTCATCTAGATGCACAATCCAATCGGTTTCCTGCAGAATGTTGACGTCCTCTTCCAAGCAATATTGCAGCGCTCTCGCCTTGTATTTTGCTCCGCTCTTTGTCCTGGAAATTGCTTAGTATTTATTTCAATTTTTCTTTCAACACCCCTCAAAAAAGATCACTTTCTAGGGTAGACATTCTAGAGCCTTGGGCTCGTGTTTTTTCAGTCAGTCCTAAGAATGCCGTTATCTGGAGAGTCGATGTGGCGACTGCTGAGTACCCGATGACGTGTCCTGGCATTCGAAAATGTGCATCGATCGAATTTTTGCGCTCACTGTTTGGGGAAAGATTTTCCGTTTAGTAAATTTTCAAAAATTTTAGTCAAAGTTCAAAAAAATGTCTCGAAAAATTGCGCAATTATTGTAAATAAGACAAAACAAATAAGCACCCGAAGCGATGTGAAATCAGTGATAAGGAATTGGCGTTCAACCTTTCGAGAGCTCTCTTCTTTCTTCATTTCACCTTTTGTCTTTGCACTTGGCTTTTTTTTTTTGAGGTCGTGAAGTCTTTACTGAATTGATACAAACACAGAAAAGATGTATTCGCTTCGCTCTAATCAGATAAGAACCGAAACTGGCAGCTGCAATAAAGTGGAGGAAAAGGAATGTGCTATTTATGATGCTTTGCACGCTAGTGAGTGAGGACTTTGACGCCAGAAAATTAGCCGAAATCACCTGTAGGAAGATGGGACGACGACTTCTCGAACTCGGGGAATGCTAGGCAAATTGATCGCTCGATCGGTGACCACCTCGAAGATAAAGTTCTCCATTCCAGCATCATAGCACTTTTTCATGTTCGTTTGAATGTTTTCCTGAAAGTTTTTTCCATAGCTTTTGTTATATGTTTCTCGTACTTACCTTGACCATAAGTGGATAATCTCCTCGTGTCACAACTCGAAAACAAACGAATGGTGATAGAAGAGGTGCCGCTTTTAATTGAATCTAAAAAAGGAATTTGTTGAAATGTTTCAAATGCTTTAAAACCTTTTCTCGAAAAGCATTGAAAACGAGCAGTCCAAGCAAATTGAAGATACATTGGGGTAGAACTAGCAACGAGGTGAGCCTCAGCAAGTATAGGACAACCGTCCAAACATACCCGTATCTGAAAATGAAACTCAGCAATGGATAAAGAACATAAAGGTAAGCTAGGAAACGAACTGTTCGAAAGGTCGGATGGGTGCGGGATCGGAGGTGAAGGCGCCGCAGAAGAGGGCAAAGCAGAGAACCCAGCCAACGAGGCACGCACAGTGGATCGCATGTTTTGCCTCACACGACATCCGCATGTGCCACCCGCCTGAATTTTTTTTTCTTAAAAACTTGTTAAAAAGAAATATTGCAAGTTCGAGAGAATTCGGAACAATTGAACGGTTTAGAGAAAAGACAAGAAAAGATGAGAAAAGATGAGAAACAGATGTTTGCAGGTGGCCGGGGGCCAAAAAGGACGTTTTCATTGCAGAGAAAAAGGGGAATGTCTTCTTTATGCCAAAAAAAAGGAGCCATCGGCTATTGATCGGACACACCTTGTGTGCGCGCGAAATCACACAAATCACCAGCCCATGCCACGAACGGTTTGGATTGAGGAAGGGGGGAAGGAGGGGAAATGAAAAGAGAGATGAAAATGGGCACGGGATCCGCGCAACCCTGACTCGACCCATACTCTTTCCCTATCATTCCTTCCACGTTCAGGTTCTCAAATCGCTATTACTTGTGCGCCTCTCTTTTTTCTGAAAGACTCGTTCGCCTCTTATTTTTTTTTTGCCAAAACCAGGAACTATCCGCGAAAACATCAAGATTCCGCGAAAACATCAAGATTCCGCGAAAATATCAAAATTCAGAGAAATCAAGGGAATCAAGTGTTAAATAGAGTTGTTTAAACAGACATTTTAATGAATAAAGGGAAGATCAATGTAAATTTACATTCTCGGAATGACAAAGTGACCGGACCGAGCAAAATTGTCGACAATGTGTTAAAGAGGAAATGTAATTGTATGAAGTGTTTGGGGATTTTTTTCCGATTGGGGCGGGACTTTTGAACGTTTCTTTTTTTAAATTTTTCAAAAGAAATAACAGAAAAATGTTGGACTTTAGGAAAAAGTGAAAAAAAAAAAGTGAAAGAAAGGAATGCTTCCAGGGGCGACGCCAGTCTTTTTGACCGTCCCTTTCCCTTTTCACATTTGACGCCACTTTTCCTGAATTTCAAATTTCTTAAAAGAATGAATGAAGGCCAAGTTTCAAAAAATTCACACATCTTTGGTTTAATTCCTGAACAAGCTAGTAAGAAAAATGAAGTTTTCTCCTTTAAAGAAGCAGAGTACAGCATCAAGGCTCATATTTGCAAAAACTGACATAACAGTACGAGGATTTGTTTGTAGGATAAAAAAAGGGAAAAGAGGTTAGACGGGGGTCAATGAGAGGATGGAAAAGGTGTGGTGGTCGGTTGTCAAGTGGGCCACTCACAAAAATCAACATTGCCCAGCCGACTCAAAGATCTTGACGAAGCAATAGAACACAGGCTTGCACGATCTCTTCATCTTTCTTTTTTTTTCCTTTATCTCAGACAATCGCAATGCATTCATTTTTGAAATATTTCAAAAATTCGCCGCTCTTTGAGCCGATCAAAGACAACAATCTTAGATATTTAAGATCTTAGATATCTGGTTGCATAAATGTTAAATGAATGTTAAATGAATGTTAAATGAATGTTAAATGAATGCTAAATGAATGTTAAATGAATGTTAAATGAATGTTAAATGAAAAACGTGTAAAAATCAAAAGAAGAGTGAAAATGAAAAGATAATAGTTTGTAACGGTCGAACTTTGCTTTCATTGTTCCCATTCAACTCCCCAAATCATCTTACAGTTAGTTTTGGCCTTTAGTATGCTCCGGCTACGAAAAGTTTCGGATTCTCCAAATGAAAATAGATTTCTTTCTCATTTCAAAGAGAAACACAAACTTACTGCGTAAAAGAATACTTTTAATTAATCTGAAGAAACCAAAAAAAAAGAAACGACGACGCGGCGCTCCCATTGACTGCCTCCAAATGGCGGCGACGTCAATTGGAATGTGACGTCGTGCAAAAATGAACATTTAACAATGAGATAAAAAGAATTTAAAATCTGCGACAGAAACTTTATTTTCTCTACTTAATTTCATGGTTTCATGGTTTAAAACGACTTTGAAATGGCCTTGGCTGAAGAAAGGTCCACGGCCCTGTTCGTGGAATGAAATGAGGCAAGGGGTGACCCTCTCCTCTCTTTCTCTTAGGACACTCTTAGGCTGTGACGAGTGTTTTTTGTCCTCTCCTTTTCCACTCCGAGAATCAGACTAGGCTTTGTAAAAAGTTGGTGCAAGCGTCAAATGAACAACCTAATTAGCTCGGCAGAATTTCAAGGAATAAAATTTCGCCAAAATTAGGATCAAGGAAACAGTTTTTGAGGGCAACGCGGGGGAATCAAAGAGCAAAGGGAAATATGGTGAGAGAAAAAAGAGACCAGAAACTCAAGGAGTTCCACGGCATGTGGTTGTGAAGAAAAAAGGGAAAGGGGATGGTTGTGCAGGGCACTCGTTGCCGTGCTTGAATGGTCGAATGTGGTCGACCTGTGGCCCCTAAAGATGCTCCCCGCCTCTCCCTTTATGAATCATCACTGTTGTTGAACTCACCCACTCACCATTTCAAAAGCTCTTTCCCTCTCATGAAAATTTGGAAACATCATTAAAAGTAAGTTAATTAAGGTGAAAAATAGAATGGCAAACTGCAAAAGTGCAAAATTTATTGTACAAAATTTTCTGACTAAGAGTTGAGCGGGGTTTATGATCTTTAAATGAACAAACGGTGCTGTTTTTGGGGATTGAGTGGTGTTGATGAAGAACTGACTGGTTGGTTCTCTTCACTGACTCACTGTCTTCCTTTCTCCTTCCTCAAATCATATCATCAATCACGAAATTCTCTTTTTTTTCTTTTCAAATTCGTTCCTCGAAATCAAATGAATCATTTAGCAATTTCAAAGAGAGAAATCGAGAAAGCAACAAAATGTTTCAAAATCATGATTGCAAGAAAAAAACTTTTAAAAATAACGATCAAAGGATAAGTAAATATTTCCATCAAACACAAAAACGTTTACCGAAGTCCAAGAAGTTTTACAAGAAAGCTTGTTTTTCTTAAAAGTTGCTCTGAATCAATATTAGATAAGCACACATTTCTAAAACTCTGTTAAACCTGTAAACCATGTAAACAAGTAAAAGATCTAGACAAGCGAATTCTCATTCTCTCACCGCCAACCCCGCCCTCGCCGAAATCCGATCAAACTAGTCAATTGAAAAAAAATAATAAACAACTCTCCATGATCACTGAGATCATTTCTCAATGAAAAGGACAATTTCAGGGGAAATGAAATAAGAAAAATCTTTTGAAAGATTTCCTTCAAATTAGGCAAACTCAAGTCAATCCAAGTTTAGAAAAACAACTTGTTTTTGTTTTTTTTATTCTCGGAAACCCGAAGAACAAAACAAAAAAAGATTCAGAAGTTTCTCTAAAGAGTTTCTAAAGAAGTCAAAAAATAAAAAAACATTTGCTTTAAAAATTTAAAAATGAGACGGTCAGTGTCGGGAGCAGTGTGAGCAGGGGACATAAAAGCACGAAACAAACAAAAAAAATGGCGAAGAGATGAAAGAAGTAAATTGCGGCGGGGAGAGTAGGGGTTGGGGACGAGCGGCTCTCTTTCGTTGTGCTCGACCCGCGATCTCTCTCTACCCCATCTCCATTCCCCTTCACCCAACCGGTTGCGCTCGGCAAACTCTTTCAATTGCTTTTTTTTCTCCTCTTCCTTTTCTTCTTTTCAACTGTTTCAAGTTTAAATCTTTTTTCAGCTAAAGATTCCAAGCATTTGAAATCTTTAGCTGAAAAAAGTGATCTATTGCCCCCACTTCCCGTGATCTATTGCTCAGTCGCTGCAAGCTTTAAGATCTCATTGAAAAACGCCTAGTTATCTAACATTTTCTTAATTCTTATTGATTGATTGATTCTTAATCCAACATCTTTTCTTAATTGGAAAATTTATTCCTTTATAGCAAAAAGAAAAGAAAAAACAAGAAAGTAGTGGAAAACGACATCTCAGTGGCCAAAAAGAGATGCCGCTAGTATGTAATTTGTGGGAAAAAAAATTGATAAGGGAAAGAGTTATCTGTGCTCGATTTAAAGAAAGGAGAAAAAGGAAAAAGAGAAGAAAACGACTCTGAGAAACCAAGAAGCAAAGCTCGAATCAGAATTGCCTGCATCGGTCTCGAGAAAGCACAAAAAAAAAGAAGAGAAAAGACTGAAATGTGCCACGCTAGCCTGTGTCGCTTTTCACTCGAAAGTGATGATAGGATTCATTTGTTTTGTTATCTATTGTTTTAAAAAAAAAAAATAATATCGGCAGAAACACTCTAAAACGTTTTAATCGTAAAGCTCTTACTCATAACTTGAAAAAAGTCTATTTACTTGCTTAACAAAAAAAGTTCTAGACTGAAAGAAACCAAGATTGAATCAAGAACAAAAGATAATCCCTATTTCGCCATCGATTTTTGGAGACAATGACGTAATTTGATGGCTACCAATTTATCAAAACTATTTAGGTCATATCACTCTGAAAAGAAATCACATCAGTGAATCAGGGGTATTATAAAAAAGTAAACATTCTTCTTTTTTACTAGATTCAGCACAGGAGAGTTTTGAGTGAGAATGAATGGATGATTCACCTCACCCATAAAAGGAGGAGGGTTTATCTCAGACTCGGTCGGTCTTTGCATTTTTCAAAGGGGCACACGATCACTCGCCTTTTCATACAAAGAACAAACACGATTTTCTTTTAAAAAGAACTCAAGACTTTCATTACATCAAAAGTGATGATCAAAGAGTTAAACAAAGTTAAACAAAGAGTAAAAATTGAGATTTCAGGTAAATTGATGGTAAATTGGTAATGGTAAATTGAAACATGGTAAATTGAAAGCGAGGGAACGGTGTCAAAATCCCCCGGGCAAGCAAGCAAGCAAAACGGAAAGACTCATTGATACGATCACGCTAAACCCTTCCTCATTTCTCAAAACTTCTCAAAAATCCTTCCTCATTTCCCTCCACTCCTTTCTCTTTTTCTTGACTCTCTATGTTTGTTTTCGATCAGCTGCCCTCCTTTTTACGGGCGATATTTTTCAGCAAACATTCTTTGGCACCTACGCTTGCCTCTTCTCTGCGATGACTCCATCTAGAGTCTTTGTCAGAAAAAAGGAGAGAAAGAAATCAAAAAC